CGGCTTTACTTTCTTCCTTGAAGTGAAAAAGGCTTAAATGACAGTCAGAGCAGCGGAGCTCCAGCTGGCAGCATCACTTGCAGACATCAAATAATCCGCTCAGCTTTGCGGGGCCTGTCTGCACCGGCCGGCATTACAAACCCTGCTGCACCACTGAAGGAGGAGGAGAAGAAAAAAAAAATCCATTCAGGAGCCTACAACAGCCCATCAACACATTGCTCTCTCCCTCCCCTCTGCTCGCTTTGATGGTAGATCCTCAAGATGCAGTGCGTGCGCTGCAGACTGCAATGCATAGATGCTCAGAGGATTTCCAAAGAGGAGACGCGGCAAACGGCGTTTTCTGCCTCCATATTGTCATATTATTTGCACCTGATCGCTCTCCACAGCCTTTTCTCCTTATGGGGGAAACTGTCGCAAAGGGGAGAGAGCACCGATCTGACACAGTCACTGCACCATTATTCTTACAGTGCCACTCAGGACAATGGGGAGATGCAGTCATCAGATTCTGAAAAGGGGGGGAAAAAGATAGATCAGTGTTCACACTCACCTTTTTCTGCAGAAAAAAAAAACCCCACGGCTGCTGGCTTCCTCGCCCGGTCAGAGAGTGAGCGTTGATGCTGCTGAAAATGATGAGGTTCGTGAGCGCGTGTGTGTGCATGTGCGCGCGTGTGTGCGTGTGTCGGAGGGAGCGTGCCTGGCTGGTGTGTCCGTCCCCCCCCTCAGCCGCTGCTACAGCAAGCTGTGGTCCACCGATCCATCCGCTCCTCACCAGCTCCCCGCCGCTGTCAAAACCAGCAGCGGAAAAGATCGTCTATTCTCGCGAGAGGGAACGCACAACAATCCGCAAATCCTGCTCATTTTTTCCTTTCAGTCATTAATACTACAGTCACTTCCACTCTATTGATAAGTCATCTTCGTGTGAATCAGTGCCATCTTAAATAAAGTCTGAATTTACTTTTAAATATCACAGGGATTCCTCTTTTTCTTTACGTGACCATAGTGTTGTAAATAATTAGCTGTCCATCGCCTCAGTGACAGTATCTATCTACTGTATGTTTCAGTAGAGTTTCTGGCAATTGATCTGTTTACTCGTTACCACAAACTCCAGAAATGTATCCCCCCTTCGCGTTGTAACATGTCAAATGAGAAAATAGCAGAGTGGGACATCTGTCTATTTGAGAGATTCCATCCTCTTCCAGGAGTCGCAGCAGGAGCGCCCCCTTTCACCGAGCGGCAGCATCTGGAACTGCAGGCAGCAGATACCAGATACACAAAGCCCCAAACACAGCAGGTGAGGCTAATCATTTCTTATTTTTCTACCACAGGCAGTTTTTAAAGGGAGTTTCTTTGATAAATTGCCAATATACTTAAATATCCCATGTTAAGCTAATTTACCAGTTTGTAATATCATTTTGTGAGTCAGGTTCACGCATTTTTAAATAAAAAAAACGAATTTTCCATCATTTTCAATGGTTGTATGTCTTATTTTCCTGGTAATTTCCCCTTTTATACTGCAGTTTAGCTCAGTCTGTTCTTCTTGGCAAGCTAATTGGTCAGAAATTGTTAAGTGGCGAGTGGCTGTTCATCCTCGAGGTACAGTTGGACAGTCCTAACTAAGTGGAATGACCCAGAAATGTTAAATAAGCTGCAATAATTACAGCAGGGTGGGTTTTCAAAATGCTAATGGAAGAGATTTCACTGCAATCTGTTAGGTGCAGCATGATGCTGGTAAAGTAAATTTAGCACTCTCGGGCTATTTCTCGGTCATGTTTAGGAAAAACAAGCCAATGTGTAGTGTGTGGTTCCCTGTGAGGCTTGTTTGGGTTTTCAGAAGAGTGTGAAAAAAAGTTCCCATGTCATAACAGCAAGTAGTAACACATGGGTTGAGGGACATTAGCCTTTACCACTAAATAATGTGCCTTTAATATCAGTAATGGCGACGAGTCTTGGGGGGAAGGATGAAAAAAGGAGCTTTAACTGTGATGTTCTTGGTCCAAAACTAAACACAACTCAGGCTAGAAATATGTTGGTGTGTCTGCACATGTCCCTGCGTGGAGACCTAACACAGATTGGCACTAGCCTGCTGATTTAAGTGCACAAGTGCTTTTCAAGAGGGGTGACTAAGAGTCTAAACATCTCGTAGTTGGGTGAGAAGATTTGTCTTTCCGCTGCACAGACACTGGTGCAGTGGGCACAAGTTGTGTTGTCTGAGGCAAAATAGGATGTTTGTATGCGCAGGTGTGTCCTAACCGACTGGCAGAGACCTGCAGAGAGCCACGCCGCTGTGCAAACTGCCCCTGGCTCGGTTTTTTTAAGCTCAACGAGGAGACGTGAAGGCGAAAATGCTTTTCTTACAGACCCACCACTGTCCGCTGATAAATGCACATCATTCATCTCAGTTTCATTATTCCTGATATGGTGGCTGAACCGATTAAGTAAAAAAATAAGATGAATGCATCAACCCTTTCCTATATCGTTTCTACTTTTTGGGATCTAGTCCAGAGCGTCACCGGGGAGCTGTTTACTTTACAACCAGGTTACAGCGGTGAGGATGTGTGTCACTGTGAGGTCCCCTGACACTGACACTCACCAGACGTGTTCTTCCCCACCGGTGCTGTTGACACAGCAGGACTCTTAACTTTGCCCGATAAACACTTCCAGTCACGGTTTGAGGATGAGCAGAGAGAAGAAAGCGACTATTGGGAAGATCACGCATAAGAAAATGGTCATTTTCATTCCTGCATATCCTTTAGAGACAATTCTGACTCCAGCAGGAGCTCTGTTGCGTGACTTGAGTTGCTGTAAAGTCATATTGGATCATTTGCAGTGGTTATGTAATGATATGTATTTTTGTTTTTGGCATTAAAATTAACCCTGACAAAAACAAAAAAAAAGATTTTGGCAAATATTTTATGACAGATCCGGAAAAATATTATATGGGAAATGGGGCGCGCATAGATTGACTGTAAATAAGAATGGGGCCATAATGGTTGCTAGGGAACACCATAAGAGCATATAATCCAAATCTGCTTGAGGAGGAGGACAAGAGACAGACAGCTCTTTCCAAAACAAGAAATAAATGGTGCAGTGGTATGACCTGTAGATTTATAGATTCCACTTCTCTATGTAAACACTGTCTGGCAGGATATACCAACCTGGACTTACACACTGGGAGAGATGGCAAAAAAGAGCAGCACCCGAAAGTGTTAAAGCCTTCCTCACCTCATTTGTCTGTGTTGGCTTTCCCATAGAGACATAAACATTGTGCTGTCTGACATTAAAAATACAATCCAATTAAAAAACAGTTTCTGCTTTTAAAAGGGAGACATCTGGTTCTTACCAGGTGGTGAAGTTAAGTAAATATAATCCCAAAGCCTCTCAATGGCATTATCAAATGTCCATAAATGACTAAAAAATGCAGAAAAACCTTCAAAGTTGGTCTGAAACTGGCTCATCAACAGGACAAAGATCCCAAACACAGCAGAAAATCTACATCAGAAAGTCTGAAAGTGTCTGAATCAGGGTGCAGGAAATGCCTTTTATTCTTATTTTTACCATGTCCTGACATGTAAAGCTTTAGAAGTGGAATGGTTTTCAGACGGACATATCCAACCAACCTGAAATCTGCCAAAGCAGATTTTCGGTAGCAGTGAACCTGTCCTAAAGCAGCAGCTGGAGCCTCCAGCTTTCAGAGTGGACGCCCCTGTAAGAACTGTCACCCCCGTGTCAGTGTTTGCTCCCAGAAAAAAACGTTTTTAGAAAAAGGCCAAGCAGAGGTAGCACCGCCACGATGTCACGGTGAAGCTCATGCTGGCAGTGTGAAGGAAAATACAGAAAAAGAGAAGTCCATCAATCTATAAAGCAAGCCAGCAGGGAGGGCTCAGACATAAATTCCTCACATCTCACATTTTCTGACATCTGTCACTGATGCTGTTGGCATATTTTTCAGTGTGACTGGGAGGAATGATCCAGGATATTCAAAGAGATGAAACAATAAAGCAGAAAATCAGTGTGCGCGGCTGGAAAAAAAAAGGCAATTCATCATAAGAGGACACTCAACATTCTTGGGTGACAATTCCATTGTTTTAGCCGGCTCAAAAAGCAGAATATGAAATAACTTCAACCTGATGCACGTTCCTGCTGCCTGGATTAGCTCCATTCATTTTTTAGCGAGAGCAAAAGAGGCAAGAAGTCAGAAAGATCATTTGTGTTTTAAAGTTTTATTATTCCATGACATTTCAGATCCTTTTTCAATTCCATTAAGCAAAATCACAACATTTGGCATTCTCACCTTGTAAAAACTCTGGCTTGACTAGGTTAAACTAAAGGGACACAACTCATTTCTTTGAGTAGAACAGACATGCTTTACACAGGCTGATAATCAGAATGAGAAAATCTTTATGGATTTTAAGTCTTTTGTCATATTTCTACATCTTAGATAGAGTAATTCTAAAGGATTCACACCATTTCTTTTTTAAATGTTATCTTTCATTTAAAGGCTAAGAATGATATCTTACAGGGTGCACAAAGTTTTTTCTTTAGGTACAGTGTTTTATACTAGGCAGTCATGTTGACGTTGTGCAATCACACATTAATTACATCTTTCAGAAAACACTCTTTTTTTTAACACTACCACAGTGTTGCATTATTGTACATATGTGCACCATACGGTGGACGTGTCTCACACATTCTCACCGTTTGCAAACCAGTCAAATAACACTTTTAGGCAGTTTAGAATTCACAGGTCTGTAAAAAAAACCTGCTGAATTGTGTCACTGCATGTTCCTTCCAGTCACATTCTGTCCCACTAAGAACACATTTCCAAACATGTTACAGAACACTTTGCTTTTTTTAAAGATATTAATAAATAAACTTTTAGTTTAGATCATGTAAACAATCTGGAATAGAATGAAATGACTTGGATACTTTAAAAATGTGGCAGACGTCTATGTCCTCGTCTAAAAACTGGCCCGTGCCGACACCGGTCTAAAGTCTGAGGCCTACAGCTTGGACTTAAAGGGGATCCCCTCGTACATGTCAGCCTTGAGCTTTGCCCACTCGGCCAGCCTCTGGATGGCGCCCTTCTCCTGACCGAGCACGCTGGCCGCCTTCCTCAGTTTGTCCTGGTTGCGCTCCAGGTAGCGCTCCCCTTCGCTTTTGAGGAAGTCCAGCTTCTCCTCGCGCTTCTCGTTCAGCGGCACGTCCTCGCTCATGTAGGGGTTGAAGCGGAAGTAGCTGTCCGGCGGCAGGAGGGCGTCCAGCATGGTGTGCACCTCTGAAAAATAACGGTGTTTCGTTTACCTCGGGAGATATTTTCCACTTCCAGGACTGTAAACATTTGCTAATGCGTGTGTAGTATTACCTTCTGTGTCTGTGGCGCTGCTGATAACGTGGCTGAGCTTGGTCTTCAAACTGGTGTAGGCGGTGCTGTTCTTGCCCACTGTTTCGTAGCGCCCCGTGCCCAGAGACAACACACACTGCAGAGGGGTGTTTGGCCACAGACACTTGCATTCGTGGATGGCCAAAGCTGTGGGGTTGTTGATGAGCAGTCCGCCATCCTGAGAAAGAACGGAGACTCCTTTAGGATCGCGTTACCCTGGCAAGCATCCTTGCTTATTCAGATGCAAACAAGGAGGAGGAAGCTGGGCTTCCAGCAGGTCCCGGTAACAACCCTGATACTGAGTCAAACAGCTCAAATCAAAATCAGCTTTAATCATCGCTCACATTGCTATTCGGACTTCTGATCTGGACTATCTGCATATTTCCCTGTTTTCACTATTCTCAGATTTGTTCAAAAGTGGTGCAGAGTGGCACCACGCCAGCTATCAGAGGAAGAGACACCTCCCACTGAAAGGGCTTCTGCTGCCACGGGGGGCAGCAAACTGAGCACAACACGAGTGTCCGGGGCTCTCCACTCGAGCGGCCATGAGTGACAAGTTATGACGAAAATCAAAATCCACTTAATGAGTTATGTGTAATACTGACTGTTAAATCTGCTTGTTCAACGTCCAAGCAACTCCAGCTTTAGGAATGTTACAAGCCTTTTTTTTGCTGTGCGCTGGGGTTCTTGGAATAATATGCTATCTTGGGAGAATGTCAAAGGGAAGCTATCCCCTGGATAACCATTTTATCCCCGAGACAGATTAATTACACAGAAGTTCCCCAGCTCATGTCAGAGCCACTGGTTAGCAAAGTGACCTCTCTTATGCCACCAGAATCAGCACTTAAAACGGACAGAATGCAGACAGAAAGCAGCATCCAATTAGAGAGCATGGCTGCATACTGGCTGATGTAATAGCCGCTGACTTATAGAATAAACGCCTGCGGCTGAAGGAGATGTGAATGCGTCTCTCTCTGTGGTGTTTGTGTGTGTATGCGGTGGTATTTTTTCTATCTCCGGCAGTGGCGGAAATTCTATGAGAAATGCCTCTGCTCTGGCTGAAAACTAGAGGAGGGGTGAGATAGGTGGGTGTCGGCAGTAGCTAAAACACAGGATGAGACACCACGCGGCTCAAAGAGGAACGTGGACAACAGTTGTGTAATTCTGACTTCCTGGAATAGCCAAGGTGTAGGTCAGGAACGACTGATTAGGATCGGCTATTGACTGAAACATAAGGCAGGGCCATGTAAAAAAGCTTGTGCATTAGGAAAGGGCAGAGAAGGGAGGGCCGCGAGGGGGGGGGGGGCACAGCTAATTTAGCTTAATTAGGTTATTGAAAAGCAGCTGAGCCTTGAGCCTAATTATTCTCCATTAAAACCATCTAAAGATATCTGGCCCAATAGTCACACTTCATGAAATGATACCACTCTATTTGGAAAGCTTCCAAACAGCATACAGACTTTAAAAGACTACACTGGGACAAAGCAAAACACATGCATGCTGCTTCAATGGTTGATAGTTGCATTTCCACAACACAGAAAGCCTCATTTCCACTCTTTTATCTCTCTTTGTCAAAACTAATTATTTGCTTCTCCTATTCCTATTAGCTTCTCTGACTCACCAGGGGAAAAAAAGCGAGCATCAATTACTCAAATACCCTCATGCAGCATCACAGCATGTTGACTTATTTTACAGGCAAGTTTGTTAGAAGACCAGAAACACCACATTCTCGTTGATTTAAACGTCACTGCTTCTCTTTTTTTTAGCTCTCTTAAACTGGACTGAGGCATTGGCTCATTCCGTGCTGTACCTGATGAAGGTCTTTTCCCAGAACAAATTCCTGAAAGTAGCCCGGGGCGGCCGACGAGGCCCTGATAGCCTGCCACATCTTGTGTTTGCAGTCTCCAAGGTAGTGGGACCTGACTCCAGGCGTGAGCCGGTAGTTCCTGAACACGTAGGCCTTCAGAGGCAGACCTCTGTTCACAATGGTGCTCACTGCAGACACCTGGTGGAGCAGAAAAAAAAAAGTCTGTCGGGTCACCTATGTGAGAACCACAAGCCCATCTTGTTGTGGAACACTATCATAATCCAAACCCTTTAACTCAGAAGTCAGGACTCACTTTTGGGCAGTGCGGGTCTCTGGCGCTCTCAATCATTCGCCCCTCACCCATCCGTTCTCTAAAAACAAAAGATGACATCAAATACAAGATGAGAATCTTAAAATGTGGGAGGCTGATATGATGAAGTAAAACGAAAAGCAAGAAAATATCTCGCGGACTAACTTGAGGATATTCTCCCAGATTTCACTGTCATAGAAAGCATGACTCCATCCCATCTTCACAGTTCCAACAATGACGTTCTGTTTGAAGACGTCTGAGCCCAGCTTCCTGTACATATCCTCACACTCTTCCAGGGGGATCTGAAAAACGCCCAGCATGAAAGCCAAGATGGCGCCTGTTGCAAAAGGGACAGGAAGAATCAGAACAGAACGGAGGAAATAGACCTTCAGCGTCAAAATCCATTAAGGATCAGGCGGATTGGGGAACACCCCACCTGTGCTGACTCCACAGATGTAGTCGAAGAGCTGGTGGATGCGTTTTCCTGTCAGCTCCTGCAGTTTGTGGAGAGTCTGCAGGGCCAGCAACCCTCTGTAAAAAAGTTTTACATTCAAACACATAAATGTACGAGTATTGTATTGTATTGATTGTTTCTACTCTATTCTGGCCCAGTAAATCTGCCCCAGAGTGAAGTATAAAATCAAAGCAATAGTAAGACTGCATTAAATAATCCAAAGAGCTGCAAGCTTTGGAAAAGATCCCATAGCAGTGATACATAGTCAAACTGTGACAGAACAATGTCAGAAGATCCAGTTCTCTGTGACTATAAAAGCTACACTTGACTAAAGTATCATATCTGTCAGGTCAGACTTGGATGGAACAGCCTTCTGTTATCTGAAAATGTTCCCTCTAACTGAAGTTTACCACCAAAAGCAGCACCACGTGTCACCTCACTGCTTTATCTTACTGATAGAAGTCGAAACATTGTGGAAACTGTAACTTTAAAAGTTGAACGTTTTATCTCGTAATGAAGCCAGAGTGCACAGTGCAAGCCAAGTAGAGCTAGTTACATCAGACCAGAATGTGTTTTGGCAAGGTTAGGAGACTTTATGCGTTTTCCCCGACTAATCTTCCTATCAATACTTTAATTACAACAAATGTATGGCTACAAAGTCCCATCAGTCAGCAGTCAAACAGCCTTCGTAAGTACCACTGAAGTTTTTAAAGTGGTTACTGAATTATTCAAAGCTGCACCTTGTTCCGCCCCCGTCTATGGCCAGCACCCGGATCCCTCTGCCTTTGACTGGATCTGTGTAGCCAACCACAGCCAGCGCTTCTCTGACGGCGGTCTGAAGAGGGAGATCGCTGGCCTGACGCAGCCGCAGCAGACAGGGCAGCACCCTCTCCTAAAAGACACGATTATGAGAGAGTTTTAATTGAGAGAAGAATTTTAAGGGACTGTTCATCCCACCCGACTGCAAAGAGAGCTGCAGAGCACGGACAAAAAAGCCCTACTGACCTTAATCGCCACAACCCGGCTCTCGGGGAACTCCAGGAGATGAAAGCTGAGCTCCTCCACTCGAGTAGTGAGCAGTTTGACATCACTGACTCTCTGCAGGCCTTTCACCAGGGCTCTGGTCCTGTTATCAACACTCACCCTGGCTATTATCTGCATGACAAATGAGTCGTAAACGTGCAAAATAATAAAAAATGAACAAAAACTCATCAAATGACTGTATGAGACACCTCTTTACACAAGTTTAAGACTATGAGCAGACAGGAGGAAGCCCATAGAGCTGGTTCAATTTCTACATCTGTCAACTGATTTACATTTGATGGTGCTATTCATCCATAATAACACCATATATCTAATAATCATTGATAATTAAATGAGTCCCCTACATGTATTGACAGAATATAATTTAAATGATCTAAACCTCCCACCTTTTCCCGCTGACTGAGCAGCTGCTGCTTTGCCTTAGCAGCTCTCTCCTCCTCGCTCTCCTCTGGTTTGTCCACTCTGGGCTCATCCACGGCGACTGCCGAGGACTTGTCTTTTTCAGCTGCCACTCTTTTGGCATCGGCTCGAAATTTGGGGACCAGAGGTGCAATGTAGCTGCCCACGAAGGCCTGGACGCTGGGCCGGGGATAGGAGAGATAGTGGTTGAAGCCTTTTTTCGGAGGGGGGGTGAGTGCGGGGGTGGACTTGGATGGGTCTTCACTGGGAACTGTTTTAGAGGAGGAGGGTGTCTCTGCAGGAGGACTGGTTTGTAATGGAGAGGGGGGAAGAGGGCTGGGAATCGGAGCTTCAACACTCTTTGACACAGGAGATAAAACAGGAATGTGGTCTGCTGGCCTCGGAGTGGTGATGGGAGATTCAGGAAGAGGATCGTGCCCTTCTCTAAGACGCTGCTGCGTTTTCTCCCCATCTTCTCCCTGCGTGTTGGTCCCAAAGTAGCTATTGATGTGGTTGGACAGAGTTGTGTAGGTCTCATCCATATTGGTGGACAGAGCTGAGGGATGGAACAGCTGAATAGTTTGCTTTGCCATTGTAGAGGGAGAGCTGGCCGCAGACACATTTGTCGCCGGAGCTAAACCAGATGTGGACTTCTTCTCGACAACAAATGGCTGTTCTTTAACCTGCTGTTTCTCTTTATCCGCATCCCCCTCCGCTGGCCTCTGCCCGCGGTCTTCTTCATCTTCCTTCACGGCGGTTTCAGCAGGCGGCGAGGAAGCAGCTGGACCGTTAGAGGTCAAGGCCTCGGCTTTGACCAGCGCTTTCTCGGCATGGGTGCCGCCGGCCGTGGCGTTGCCGGGCATGAAGCGGGAGAACTTGGAGATGAGGTCTGTGCTGCCCACGGCCTTGGTCACGCTGTCAATTGTGGTCCTGAGCCGCGACATGCGTCTCCCGATTGGCTTTGTGACATCAGAGGAGAAAAAAAAGATGATGCTCTAATGTTGGTGTGAGGTGTTGCCGCTCTCCAGAGAGGCTTTGGGCCATCGGTTATTGCAGCGTAGCTTCTTTTATAACTTGGCTGTGCATTCCACTTGTCTGAAAAAAAACAGAGTTTAATTAATATCGTAAAAAGGATTCAGCATGAACAAAATGGAAACAGTAGAAGTTTGAATTACTTATAGGCTTTTGTAGTTACATGCAGAAGCCACTAGAGGGCTCCATCTGAACCTCTTTCGGGTTGGGTTACCATGGAAACTCTTAAACAAACCAAACCAACGAGCGTAGCTTTTTAAAAGCTACATGGCCGCTCCTTGACGGCGTGGATGCGGGTGTTGTGAAGCCAAGATGGACCGACATTCACACCATCTGACAGCCGAGTCGCGTCTTCTTGTCCAGGCCTCGGCGGAGAGGCGCCACCGCGGGAATCAGGACGAAGAGACGGTCACGAGCCACTGGCCCTCGCGCGAGGACTTCACCGTCCGCGCGGGGAAGGAGCGGATCGAGGCTTATATCCAAACGTGGGAGATCCCGTCCTCCTGGCTTCATAGTTTGGATTTCCTCCACTCAACGGAGGACGAGAACAGCACCATCTACCACTACCGAGCCCGCTTCAGCACCCCGACGCCCAGCAAGCCCATCCAGGGGACGGCCAGCGTCTACTTCGCCGTTGAAGCCCCCCAAAACAAGCCCAAAGAGACGCCGGTTGAAGTCCACTTCATAGTGGAGTCGAACAGGCTCGTCCACACGCCCGGGCAGTGCAGGTTCAGAGAGAGGTGGCTGGCGGATGTTATTGAGAGCAAAGCTTTGCTTGGCAGGGCCTTCGAGGCAGCTGGATTCAAACATGTTGCTACTGAAAGATGACCTCATGAGCCAACCGTAATGACTACATGGGAAGCCAATAAACAACCACTAGCTATCAGCCTCTTCGCTTCTCCTTCGTACCAGATCAGTTAGAATGCTTATATAACCTCACTGTACGGACTTTGTACGTTGTAAAGTCCTCCAAATACCCAATGTCTATCTCAGAAAATGCCTTCATTATGGTATAAAAATATAATTTGACCTTCTCCTACAAATAACAAATCTATTTATTGAGTTAGAGAGCTAAATTGCTGAATAAATAACTAACAAATGAAGTTGCCCACTGCGTTCTGTTCACATTCCGGGCAGCATCATTAGTGGTTGCTAATTTTGCTAATAAACGTAAAGACGAACGATTTTATTGAATCTTAAAAGCGGCAAAACAGAGATACATTGTCCTCTCACCTGAGAAAGCGCAAAATGAATTCTTGAAATCGTCCATTCGATGTAGGGCAAGCTCTACATGAATGGAGGCTACTTGGATCAGAAAAAAAATAAACAGGAAGAGGGCAGGAAGTGACGTAACAGGTCGTCCTGCTTGCAATTCCTAGTTTTGACCACAAGATGTCACTAGAAAGCGCAGTTTTCTTTTCAAAAGCATAACCCCACATTGCATTTACATCCTTGAAAAAATGTGCAAATATTACGGATTTCTTCATTTTAACATATGACCATCAGTTAAAACATTTAAGGGAAGGTAAAAAAATAGACTACTCTGACAATGTAATGCTGATGTTGTCAAGATCTCACGCATTTTAGTTTGAGTATATCAGTGATAGAGACTTAGACTTAGACAGTACTTTATTGATCCCTTGGGAAGACTCCCTCAGGAAATTAAGGAATACTAACTAAGAGAGTCCAATTCTCTATTTAAATGAGCTGTTTTTTGTATCCCGGTAGCTTGAAATGTGTTGTTGTAACATAGAAACCAAATTAGAATATCATCTGTGTTAGTTTCATTATTACTACAATGTTATTAGAAGGGCCCCCTTTTCTAAATCTTGATTGATATTAGCATACTTTTCACCATGCGTTGGTAATATAAATGTGGTCTGTGAAGGGAACTGCTAAGAATAATTCACAGAATGAGCCTGGCTGCATTGTGTTATAACATCACTTAACCAGTTGGAGGGATTTGATTGACAGTTTATTAGTTTAAGTCTGAGGGTCATTTTCAATAACATTTGATAATAATTATTTGCCGCTGGCAGTGCCCCCGCCTAATTACTGATGTGTCAGCCATTAATGACAATCTGATAGATCCACACCTATGACTCACCTGTTAAAAGCTAGTAGCTCTGCATTTAAACATGCATTTTCAGAAGGACCTCAAGCATTTTAAGACAGATGAAATGTAAATTCAAGAGCAAAAAAAGAACGGCTTTGCATGCTCATTCATCTGTCTGCACTTTTCTTCTGTAATAGCAGGGTGTTAGTCATAGCCAATGTTTTTCCAAAGAAATTTGAATGTACTCAAGTAAAGGTAAAATAAAAAAACAGAAGCAGAGGCCAGATCTTTGAACAAAAAGTTGACCAAGGCCACTGGTCCACCTTTGCTCATCTACTGTATGTGTCAACAAGTTGTTGTTCCAAATTCAATCACTTGTCATGTTTTAGTTACTTTTAAATCCCTAAAATGTCCATGAACTCTTTCAGATACAAGGCGACATCCACTTCTCTGCTTTTTTTTGTTTACTCCAATTTTCACCGGATACTCCGCACAGCATCGTGATATATTCAATGTTTTCAGCAAACAGCAACTTAGGAATCATCTTTTCAGTGCTTTGATACCAAATGGGAAGAATCCTAACAAAACTAAAAAGGCAACATAACCCAAAGGATTGTTTGGTCAATGCCTGTACAAAACCTTGTTGATCTGACCGAGACAGTTTTAACCCTAATTTGTTGAGTTATGGATAAATTGTGGAAGAATGGCAAGAAACCCTTTCTTGACAAAAAGCCTTTAAAACATTCTGTTGAAGTTTGAACAAAATCAAAAGTTATTTTTCTTTTTAGTGGTTCCAATTGCACTATTTTACTTATTCATTTCTCTAATAATCCAGAATTATGATTTCATCACTTCATCATGTTATTCTATCATGTGGATGTAAGCAGGTGTTTGTTGATGTTAGTCCAGTGAAAGGATGAGTGTCCAATGGTCAACAGCAATATGTGGAGAGAGAAGTGGAGGAAAGTGTTATCTCTGCAAGAGAAATGTTCCTTACACAAATTCATCTCTAACAAGAGCAAGGATTTAGAGCTTTGTGTTTGGTTTGATAAAGGATGTGACACGGAAAGTCTTGTTCGACACAGGGAGGAGAGACAGGTTGCGGGGTGAGGGTGCAGAGTCCCTGCAGAGTCTGCAGGCTCCGTTTCATCTGCTCTGCAGCAAAAGAGGAAGAAGAAGAACAAAAACTTCTCTCTACTAATGAGTGCAGAGAGGTGTGACAAAATATTATAACGTCCTAATTGAAGCATCTGATTAAGTGAAACTTTTGAACCCTGTAACTATTCTTCTACTATGATAACACGTAAAAAGAAGAAGCCATTTCCTCAGGCTGCACCTCAGAAGATGAAACGACATCTTTATGCTGTAAAATGAACAGACCGACTGTGGTGCCTGTACAGTGACCTTGCATAATCCATGATATGTGCTTAAATGGAATAAAAGAGTGTGGAATAATCCATGAACTACTTCAAATTTTCATACTTTGATTAAGAGAACTGATCATATAAAAACTTGTTCTTTAATTGTCTTACTCGCTACAATAATTGGGCTATGGCTTTTGTGTTGCCAGCTTAGAGTAATTATATAACAGCTCCTTCATCCGCCGTCGCTTAGATAGAGAAAACAAAGTCTGTTGGAGCAAAATGGGATGAAGCCATTCACAAATTAAACATTACATGCATCAAAAGGAAGAAATTGGAAACAACTGCATCTTTTTTGGCAGGCTACTAACGCGAACGCTTAGAGCCTTTTTCATGTTTGAGTAATTCAGAAGTAAGTTAAGTGCCTCAAAGAAAAACACATTCCTCTGGAAATAGAAAGTGGCGAGGAGTGGGGAATGTATACTACATAGCGTGAACACCCTGTCACTACACTAACAGTCATTTGTCATGGCCGGAATGTGGCCGCTGCTCCATGGTGAGTGACCAGAATGTGTATTAAAGTGTGGACTGTGTAAACACAACTTTGTGCAGGCCTCCCAGGGTATCTGCACACTGAAGTTTAAACTCCTCATCACAGCTTCACCTGCTAATACAAACGTTATCTGAGTCACTATCCTCTGTGCACCTTCAAACCGTCCCCGTTTTGCTTTTCGGATATTATTCACACAGAAAGGAGCAGGACTATCCGGCACTTGTGAGCAGTGTGGTCAAAGTTTGCTGCTTTTTCACACTCAGCTGGTATTTTTCACACTAACACAAACCTTTTTTTAGCTTTGACCTCAATTCCTAACGAACAACCTGTTTGATTAAGAGGTCAATTCTCTATATAATTCAATTACCTCTTCTTCTCCAGTTATAATTATTGTCCAAACCATTCAGTGTGCTTAATATTTAAGCCCTTCCAAAAGAAATAAGAGGTTTATTGTAGGTAAAATATTGAGCATACAGTTTCGTTTAAAATAAAAGGCACAAGGTCTTTAAAAATGACACATTGTTGGAGGATCTGTTGGTTTAGCGAATGCAGGTGAATTATGTTGGGTTACTTTATTTGTGTTCAATAACAAAGGAATCCAGTCACACCTCGCCCCCCCTCCATCCTTCAAATCGATGCTTCCCCTTCCCACTGTCACCACTCGTGACGCCTCTCAGTGTGGTGCGCCTTGGTCACAGAATGCTGCGCTCTATCCACGCAAACATGGCCAAATCCAAGGCCCCTGCGCAGAAGGGTTTGTGGAGATTTACTGTTGGAGGACTTAACTAAATATCAACAATTCTTCCCCCCAAATGGATGGCAGCATTAACAGCCCCGCAGAGGGACCAGGTGAAGATGGAGCCGCGCACGAACGTTTTGCGCTCGTCAGAGCCGGAGTTCTGGGGTTGGTTTTCGTCCTCGCAACGTGCAGCAACTTCTTCTTCTTGGCCGCCCTTTTTAAAAGGAGAAAGAGAAATACAAGGACCCAGCTGTTTCTTCTACACCTGTGCTTGGCGGACCTGGTGGTGGCGTTTTTCCAAGTTCTACCGCAGTTCTCCATTGAAATTACGCACAGGTTCCGGGGGACAGACTTCCTGTGCCGCTCCATAAAATACTTGCAGGTGGTTGGAATGTTTGCCTCCGCGTACATGATAGTGGCTATGACTATAGACCGCTACCATGCAGTCTGCATGCCCATGGTTTCCTTCTTAGAGGGCTCGTTTAGGAGGTATATCTCCATTGGCGCAGCGTGGCTCATCTCTCTCGCCTTCAGCTCTCCGCAGCTCTTCATCTTCTCTCTGCAGGAGGTCGAGGCGAACCAGTTCGACTGCTGGGCGACATTTATTGAACCGTGGGGGAGCCGTATCTACATCAGCTGGATCACGCTGGCGGTGTTTGCATTGCCAGCCGTCATTTTGCTGTACTGCCAAATGAGAATATGCACAACGATATACTTCAACATGAAGAGAAAGGCTTTGCAGTCAGGGCGCGCGGGCACGAAAGGGGTATCCAACGCAATGCTCAAGACCGTGAAAATGACTTTTGTAATTATAATGGCGTATACACTGTGTTGGAGCCCATTCTTTGTGGTCCATTTATGGTCTGCGTGGAGTCCAAGCAGCGCGCCCACGGAAGGTGAGTCTTCTGGCACTCTTGCAACTTAGATTTGTAACGTTTTTTAAATTTTTAAATATGTTTCAACAATGTTTCTTCTAATATTTCTGTCTCTCTGTCCTCCAGGTCCAGTCTTTTCCATTATCATGCTGTTGGCCAGCCTCAACAGCTGTACTAACCCTTGGATATATCTCTACTATAGCTAAAATCCTGAGATGAAAAGAATCAGGAAACAATTTTGAAATGTACTGTTCATGTCTTTTGTGAAGACTGATGTCACAATTGGTTGTTTTCTCTGTTTGTGACAAAGACGTCTATTGTTGGTAGAGGTAAGTCATGAAACAGGCTGCATGGATGCAGAGTAAATTGCAGCTGTGAGGCATTCAAAAGAACTCCAGCGCAATCATTCTTTCAACAGGTTTCACAATAGCTTCTCAGAGCACACAACTGCATTTCCTGTGGTTTGGAATCATGAAAACGTAAAAAGGAACAATAAAGACATCAATTTCCATTATAGACACTTTGTACATAGAAACAAACAGAATGATAAGCACAGAATTCTAACTATAAGAAGAGATAAATGTAAGTAAACCAAGAATATCAGTGAGTTCTAAAAACTTTTTTTTTAATTAAAAAAGAATAAGGACATTAGGCTGCACATGTTTTCTGGTGATTTGGCAGGTTCTTTTTAAAGTTGACGGGAGTCTGTCCTCTGGCAGCCGTCTGTGGCCAGTTCGGCTTTACTGAAAGTTTCTTTTCGCCGCTGGTCGTGTGCTTTTGGCAGCTGTCTTTCTTAAAAACTAAAAACCTACTTTCTAAGGATTACATTTGGTTGAAATGGTGTGCTACAGCATGATAAGACCTCAATGTTTCACAGTGTAGAGGGAACTCAGTTGCTTGTGGGCTTCATTTAGTCAGAAAAACTGAAGAAACTGTGGTTTATGAAACCTTAAAACTAATTCTATCTGCACTTTTCACATTTGAGTCTTTCATTATATTTATTTCTTTGTTGGTAGACGAAAAAAAAACTTAAAGGTGCAAATAATTGTATTAGGGTCACATTTTATGTTTAAGTGTTTTCTTTTCTTTAACTTTGTAAATACGTTTTTGTTTTGGCTGCCAACTTATAAAGGATTTTATCATAAATAAACATGTCAATCTGGAGAATTATTCAGTTGTTTGTAAAATTATTGTAAATGTGTATGAATTTCAGCTCTGCAGATAACTTAAAAGCATTGCATAAATTATGCAAATCTGACTGTTTTCCAGGCTTAAACAATGTCATGTTTGGAACTTCGCACACCTCCTTTTACATTTTCTTTGTAATAATTAAACAATAACAAATGCATTTACTTATATTCTATATTGTGAATAAATTAGGACAATATACAGGAAAATGTAAATGTAAACTGGATTTTTCTGAGGCCCTGGGAGTCTTTTATGAAACATCCTGATTATAGAAGCGTATTGACCTATGGTCTCTAGCACAGTGCTCATTTGAACATTATTGTTCTGCTTATTTATGCCTTGGTTATTCTTTAAATGATGATTCACGGTCATTTTAAAGTGACCTCCTGTAGATGCACGATTCCCGGGAAATCTCAGAGCACTTGTCCCCTTAAAATCAGCTCTGAGACTCAGACCCACAGGATTGCAGGTTTCTTTTCATTAGTGCCTTTGAGCATCGGTTCCCCTGATCCTTTCAGAGCACAGTGTCATTCTTCACCCGCGAAATGTGTCGTGCTCTCACCATTTTCCCCAGCAGTCAGACTCTGCACTCACTTGAAATTGCACTTCACAAATCAGCTCACATGTACAATCATGTATTTTGTAATCAAGTTAAAACCAATAAGGCGAGCCTCACTCCAACAAGTGCCCGAGCAGATGGAGAAGAGTACTTGAGTGTTTAAAATTAAAAACATTTGCATAGTCAGAAACTTAATTATGGCGGATTCATGAAAAAATGCAAACCTTATGCGGAGAAAATCCAGCCCTCATTTAAATACCCCGTGTTTTCATTCCCCTTTCTGCCACAGGTGCTGCTGAAGATAAAGTGTTGTCATGTTTTTCTCTGTTCCTCACGTTCGGAAACCATACAGCCAGTGGCAGTTTTTATTTCTGAAAAGCAGCTTCAAATGAGATTAGGCATCTCATGTGGGGAAAGTACTATGGCGACTAGCTGTGGGCCTGAGGGGAGAGAGGCGGGGAAATAAATCCTGCTGCTGGTTTAAGCCCATGTAATTGTTTAAAACAATGACTACAGGCGTGGTGCAAAAGGAAAAACATGACTTCAGAGACTCATATACATTTAAGAAATGCATTTACAGTCAAATGCACTCTTTTAAAATGATTTATTTCAGTAAATAAAAGGGGATGCTGATTCAGACTGACAGCACAGTGCTGATATTTGTGGTGGAACGTGTAAAAGGGTTTTTTAAAAGTATGCACATTATTAGGATAAAATTCCTTTTACTGTAAACAATGTAATCAAATATTCCTTCATTTAAATCAAAGGTTCTTTCACAAAAGGTGAGAAACTGTTTTTCCCTTCCTTTCTCATGGGCTAAAAGTGAAAAATCATGTTTTTAGAGTACTGGATTTGTGGATTTTTTTTAATACATTATTTTCTCTGGTTATTAAAGCCACTGGGGACATCAGAAGCCTAAAGCATAACACTTCCACCTCCATGCCTCATAGCTGATAGATTCTTTTTTTTACAAAATTCCCCCCTCTTTGCTCATGTCGTGTGTACAGTTGAGATGAATTCACACTTTCCGACCTGTGTTGGGCTTGTTAAAGTGTACATTCGCACATTTCTGATGCAGGACTACGAGAGAAAAAAGCTATTTCCCTCTGACAGCTCTCCCATGCGGGCCCTGTCAAGGCAGGTGTGGCTGCACAGCGGAGCAGTTTGCTAAATTAAGGTCTCCAGTGGTCAGGGGTTTCAATTTGCCTTCCAACCATTCCTACAAGCAGTCCTCACATCTTCAAGACCTCGACCTGACCTCCATCATTCCTCTAAATAACCATTTCCTAATCACATTACAAACTGAGGAAGCAGCTGCCTATAAACGCTCTGCTATCCTCTTATAGCTTTCTTTTGCCTTGCGGCCGTCAATTATTCAAATTTTCAGAGTGTATGGCAGCTGCTCCTGGATGCTCGTTGGCTGTTGAAGGTAAGGAACCACTTTCAAAAGTTGTTAGACTTTTTAAAAATTACGGGGAACGATTTAGCTCAAATCTGCAGTTTTCTTAATTTTTGCATTATTTTGAACTCTTTCGACAAATGTGTTTTCAAAATGAGTTCATTTTCTTGCTCTGCCATCTCCATTAATTGAAACATCCAAAGAACAAATGAACAATTACATTTATTAAAAGAAAGAGCAATTAAGTGAATTCAGCCGTTACAGGAGAACACTTTAACAGCGGGGTAGTCTGAGAGCAACAAAAGGTACATTTAGTACCCAACCAGAATAAATCATTGAAGTTCACTCAATGCATTTCCACAAAAAAGGTTAAATTATGAGGACCTAAAGAGCAGGTATGTAGTGGATCAAATATCTGAGACAGAGGGAGGTGGAATAAAGCACTGAGCACATCACAAACCTGTGCACAGGTTTTGACCTACAGCAACATTTCTAATACTAAGAAAGAGAAACAGACTTGGACTGGGATCAATAGCAGTCACATGAGTCACAGAGGGACTCATCGTTCCTCCATCATGCACGTTTGCGCTACTGCCATGCCGCAGGATGGAGTCTGTTCAGACCCAAGCTGCCAAAAGGATTTGAGAATCGATGCCCAGGCGACGCGTCCAGAAGTCGTACAGTGACACCATGTGGACGCTGTCAGAAACACATCTGTACAGAGACCCAAAAACTTTGTGCAACAATAACAATTTCTTACACTAAATGACAAAGCAACACAGCTTAAATATAATCATCTAAAAGTTTTTGCCTTTCTTTAACAACAGTGTCATCCTTCTTCAGGGTGGATATTTAGTTCTCCAGGGTTTGGATTTTAGCTACCGTGCTCTCCTCCCTGCGATCCAGCTCCAATATCTTTGCATGAAGGGTTAAGACTTTATTCCACAGCCGATCTCTATCAGTGTCTGCTCTACAGTGCGAGTGCTCATCAACAGAAATGTGCTCTTTCTCACCAGGTCCCCTCCCATACAGAAAACAACCGAGGGGCATTGTTTGCACAGGGGAAATGTGAGAAGTCTGTCCCAGTGCTCCTTGGAGGGCAGCTGCCTCCACATGTGCATCTTTTTTTAGGAAAGGGCCCAGCGTCTCACAGCTCAACACGACCAGTCGTCCTCAAAATAGGTGGCTCCTTACAGGGGACAGACTCAAGTCCTTTGAGCTCAGTGTCCGTCTCTGAAATGCTGGGTGTGGCAACAGGGCTTCTTTTACCCGAGAGACTTTTTTTCTCACCATCCTGAGACACAAGAAAATGAAGCGCATTAAATAACAACTGATGGCAATTTGCAGAAATGACTTGTGTCAAACAGGGTCTTTGCATTCTCAGTAACAGTAGCTGAAATAAATATCACGGAGATGCTGCAAAAGGGAGTCATACATCATCAACTGCAGGGAAAATAGTGGGAACAGCTGTATTCTTCAGATAACTGATGCCCAATCTAATATCAACACAACTCTCTGTAAAATGCTCGCTGCACAGATACTGGTGTCGACTCGGGGTCCAGTCCTCGTGCCTCATGTTGTCTACCCATTTTTGGAGTCTGGGCTTATCTTGCAAAGGAAACCTTTGGCAGAGGGAAAATAATTAATAAAAAGCTGGAATATGGAAATCATTTGAATGCCACATCATAGCGATAAAACATTCAGCCGAAGCTTCACTCCACTAAAAAAATTTTTTGAGGTCTCATATATAATATATATGCAAATAGTTCAAATGACAGCAAGAAAAGGTAACACATTATATCAAATAAACTATAACTATTCGGAAAAAAACACAAAACCTACTGGTAAAAGCTAATTTTCCTGTTGTCCTGTCTTGAAGAAGTCCCTCCTCGATTTTGACTAAATTTTACTGTACAGTAACGTGGCATATTTGCAAGGAAACCACATGAAAACACACCAAAATAACACGTTATCTGCTTAAATTATTTAAAAACACACGAAACGTCACGAAACAAAGCACTTCCGGATTACACATTAAATTACGGAAGTAAAACAGAGTCGCAATTCTCACAGTTATTCCATGAAAAACTCATTTTTATAGATATACCGAGTGGTTGTAAATTTATTAAATATAAAAAGGTGTAATATCTAAGTATCTATTAATAATATAAAGAAGAAGAAATAGAAAAATGATTGAGCTTAGTGAAGGCGGAAGTACTAGCCAATCACTATCTAGCTTCGTTAGGAGGGTTCCCAGTCCTCCACGTGCACATAGTTTGCACCAATCACATGCAAGTGAGTCAGTGTGTTACGGAATTAACCAATAGTATTGCGAGTCGTGGTGTTACAGCTCAGGAATGCACCTCGTCAACAATTGCTAGGTTTCGGTTCGCATCAGCTGGAGCTGTTGGCGGTTGACAGAAGTCTCCCCCGGGCTGTTTGTCACATCGTCTCCAGGTAATCTCCATTTTCTTTCCTACATGTGAACGTTATTTTTTCGTAGTTTGCTTACTTGCTGCTGCCAATACTAACCACTTACTGGCTGGCTTGTTTTAAGTTTCGAGGTTATTTAGCAAAATAGCTACTCTTTGTCTCCAGCCAAAGTTATTTTTGATTGAACTAGCTCGCTAATCAAGTAAATAACGTTTTGTTTCTTTTTAAAAATCGATTTTAAAAGTCTTCCTGTTTAGTGAACTGAGTTGTTCAACTTCTATCTTCACAGCCAAAACCACCAGTATGGCAACAGCCCAGTCTGTGTTACTGCTAGCAGTGCATGTGCTGCTCATCTCCGAGTTCATCCTGGCCAAGAGAGACTACTATGACATACTGGGGGTGCCCAGAGGTGCAACTGAGCGTCAGATCAAAAAAGCCTTCCATAAACTGGCCCTCAAGTACCATCCAGACCGAAACAAGAGTCCAGATGCTGAGGCCAAGTTCAGAGAAATAGCAGAGGGTAAGTAGGTCATTTTTAATTCCATAGAAGTGCTTCATTTTGGCCCAGTTTTCTGGGCATAAAGAAGATTTTGAATACACAAAATCGGTTTATAAACCTTAACAAACTTAAAATATATACTTAGGAATAGGTCAACTCAGCACATAACAGAATTAGTTTGGTAGAAAACATTTCGGTGGTAGAAACTATTCAACCATAAATAGCTGGGAATTTAAAGCGGTGCTGAATTGAACTAGTTGATTTACATACCTGCTCTTTTCCTGATTCCCTTGACGTGAAACTGCAGTGGAAAAATAAACAGCTGAAGCTCACCTATACTGTTTTACTCTTTCAGCGTATGAGACGCTATCGGATGATAAGAGGAGGCGAGAGTATGACCAGTTTGGCCACGATGCATCATCTGGTGGGGGTCAGGGAGGAGGACAGGACGACGGCAACTATAACTTCAAGCAGCACTACCAGTCCTTCAACTTCGATGACATTTTCAAAGACTTTGACCATTTCGGTCAACGGCACCAGCACCACTTCCACTCCAACGCCCACAACCAGGCCCATCAGAAGAGACACTTTGACGGCCACTTCCAGGCCCACCGCGAGAACATGAACAGGCAGAGAAGGGATTTTCAGCAGGGGGGCTTTGGTGGGGGACTCTTTGACGACATGTTTGAGGACCTGGAGAAGATGTTCTCCTTCAACACGCACACCAGGACTGAGTCCAGGTTTCAGGGCTCGGCGAAGCAGCACTGCAGGACGGTGACTCAGCGCCGGGGCAACATGGTGACCACCTTCACCGACTGCTCCTGAGGCGGGGAGAAAAGAGGGAAGTAGCAGCCACCTGGGAGACTGACACCTTTCTTAGCGTGGCTTTGAAATTGACTGTTAATTTATCGTTTGGTGGAATAGAGACTGGTTTTGTGTGGCTTTTGCAATTCTCTATATACTCCTCTTTCAACACAAATGTAAGCTGGCCAGATAATGGCCAATTTCAAGCAATAATTTGTTTACATTGTTTATTGCATGGAATAAGTTTTAGGATCATCCACATACCTCTGCTTTATTTAGCTGTCCTGGCTGTTAATGTTTACTTGGGTTAATTTCTCTTTTTTGTGATGGTACATTCTGATTGACTCAGGTGTGGCCAATGGTTCAAAAAGACTGTTTTTGACATAACATTGTAGTAGTTATGTCAAACTTAAACATCTGAAAATCAAACGCAGTGCAATCTTTTTGATTTGGCTAAAGGTTAAATTTAGAGGAAATTACACATTTAGACTTAACAACACGTCACCAACTGTTACCTCATTTTAGTTTCTTCCTGCAGCGTCTCGTCTACCTTCTCTCAGTCAGGGTGGGAAACTAACATCAGCCCATGACAAATGCTGGTGAGCTCTAGCCGGTGGAACGGCATCAGGTGGGCTCATTACCAGTGAAGCTGGACGGTCTGAAAAGTTAAGCCTCCCAAACTGATCAGAATGTGCAATATTTGGCACCTTTGCTCTTCACGTTGCCTATCTTTCAAAGACGGTGCTTTGCAAATGTCATTGTCTAATGTCTGCACTTTGTGTGTGTGTGTGTGTGTGTGTGTGTATGTGTGTGTGTGGAGTTTAACTGCGCGTGTGGAGTTGATTGACTGAAAAATGTTTTGTGAGTAAATAAAACAATTCAAGAGCAAATATCTGTGTGTGGAACTCTGTTAATGGTTCTATTTTTAGTGCAGTACACTCGCATGCTTTTGGAGGAGTTGACGACCCCTTCTGGAAGAACAGGAGTACTGCGCAGTTCTAGAAAGCTCCAGTAGAGTGTACACTTTCCCAAAGATGCAAAACTGGGTCCAGCTTACCTTCTGCAGCAGCCCACAGGAAGTAATGAGAACACTGAAGAAAGAAAATGATGCAATAAAAACATGGAGCGTTACATCACTGGTCACCCAGCTCATGCTGATCCCAACAGCTGGAATGAAAACCTACTTAACATTCTGATGTTTAAACTTTAAATGTAGTTTCCTAGTTTACACAGGCAGACGACATGTTCTGAAGGGATATGATTGGATATGACAAACATACCTTAGAAAATGCCAAGAATAAGAAGGTAAAAAAAGTGCCTTTTAGGCTGAATTTTCATTAAAACATCATTGACATATAATCCACCATATATAACCAAATTCCCACCTCCTTCTGAACATCCACCCTAACATGAATGGGTCAACTCCTCTGAATCAGGCAGGCTTTCTTACCTAACTTTGTTTTGTTTTTTTCAGTTCAGCACAACATGACACGATTTTCAGAGGGAAGTGCACATGACAAAGAGGAAGAATAAGTTTTGCCTCTAATTACAGCTGACATGTGCATGAGATCTAACCTCAAATCTGTAACAAAAAAAAACAACAGACAGGCTGAGTTCTAAAACTGCAAAGTCACTGCATAGTCATCCAGGACTGCTCCACACCCAGACAGCTCAGCTAAAGCCGTTGAGATAAGAGTCCCTTCCAGATGTTATAAATGACCCAACGGTCAAATGTGATGTGTCATCCAAGCCTAATAAAATCAAATTTGCAAGTTTGTTTCTCCACAATACCTGGTAACACAACCTTTTTTAGTTTACTCACATGTGCATGTAGAGTCTTGTCTATTTGATTGCATGGCTCTGCCAGTTTCTGACTAACTGTGATGCCTCACAGAGGATGTGTTTGCACAGGATAAACCGGAGTGAACCGGGAGACAACACAACGCCATTTTAGTTAGAAAAAACTCTTTGTCTCTGCACAGAATACCCACAACATTGCTGCTCCTAAATGTGTTTTTACGGCATTTAACAAATTACACAGACGTTTTCCATTATAATCATAACTACTTCAAGAGAGTACTTAACAGCAACTTTAGTCAGTCCTGCACATCTATTTAAATGTAAAAAAAACTTTTCTAACATACCAGTGAAGCAAGTGAAAACACTTTTTCTCTCCCTCAAAGCAACATAGTATATTAATATAGCCATAGTTAAAAACAAAATTAAAAGTTACATAAATAAATGTTTTACAAGGAGACAAAAGATCTGAGAAGCTCATAAAAATGCTTGTTGTTGTGTTGGTATAAATCACTAAGCGTGACATTGTTGTGAGTGGGCATTACCGCAGATCAGAGAGATAAAGTTATGAATGATGTGGCTGTTTGCGGACTGGTCCTCAGAGTTCTGGGCCCTGATCAGGCTCACGTGCTTCCCTCCTCCATAGATCATAATCCCAAGAAATGTGACCATGATCTCAGAGCCAGTTCCGGCACCGCACATGTGGGAGAATATCCTGTAAACAAGCCAGGCAGTTGTGTGTCTGTGTGTTTTTATCGTTTATTTTTTCTGCTTCAGCCACATGAACCCCTCAATCGACTTTAGCTTTTGGGTTGTGGATTAAAACATCTATTTGAATGACTGAAGATGTTTGAATGAACAGAGGAGAAAAGGTAAAATATGAACAAATTAATGAATGTTGTTAGATTTGTCTTCACGTTACTGTTTTTTTCTTGAATAACTAACCTGTGCGTATCAAATCAAGATAATCTGTTGTTAAAGTGACACAAATGAGGACTATTGATGAGGCATTTAGCCGTAATTCACCGATTTCACAGTCAGATTCTCTGCATCCTTCTCTTAAGCCCAGAACATGGAGCAGTGAGCTAACCTGCTTTAATGGGAGTCATGTGCATCAGCTTGTTGTCATGTGTGTTACAACCCAGTTACCTAATCACTGCTTTCACTTACAGCCTTGTCTATATATGTCAAGTTTAAGTTAAATGACATTAAAGGGCAACAGAAGATGAGAGGCCCTTTTAAAAAAAGAGAGAATAAATGATGATTAATATTCTTGCCCCCACCAGCTTCTCCATATTCTTTTAGAGACACTAAACAGGTTTGACAGGCCTGTGCTTTAGGCTGGTTTGCTGAGTATGGCTTCAATCTGATCTTTGTCAGTTTTGACCCAGCTACCATCCACCAGCTTCTTCTCCATAGGAAATTCACAATAACTCAATATCTAAAGGTACATGTTTAGTTTGATTTAACTGCCATTCTGCTTGTGTTAATGGGAAGGTTTGTCCCTTTATTTCAGCTGTTCCCTCCATGACCCCTGAACCCATAACCATCTCCGTGTTACCAAAGGGATCATCAGATACTATCATAAGCAAAAACAAGCAAACAAACAGTTGTTTTGGGAAAACTGAGCTGAATGCATTAAAGTGTTTGACGTGTGTGTGTGTACCGTGGGGAAAAATCCCATGCCTTTTATCCCTATTATGCCAAATATTACAAAGATGTGCCTTTCTTTCCTGCGGTGGTTAATGATTAACCAAAGCAAGTCAAAGTTAACAACTAAACTCCCCGTATCATAGCATGACTCGGCAAAAAGATTACATTTATTGACCGGGCAAACGTCACCGATCACTTCAGCTCCTCCCATCCTACTTTCAAATAGGCTGCCTGCTCCCTGACTCAGCTGCACAAATCTGCCCGATCAAAGAGCTCCCTGTTGCACATCCGTGCTAGGCTGAGAGAATATCGCCGAGATGATCCCCGCTGTGTCGCTCAGCAACGGAGCAAGCATGCCCATCGTGGGCCTGGGAACGTGGAGGGTAAGGCTAAAACCTCTGCAAACATCTGGCAGCTCTGGGTTCTTCTCGCAGGCCTTTCCACGATGACTCTACTTCCCACAAAAAAGATCCAAACTCTCAGAGTGCATTGACCTGTTTTACATGTATTGTGCTGTATGCTCTTAAACTGGATTTCCAGCTCTGCTGTCTGAATGTGGACGTAGTTACATTAAAAAAAAAGATAAAATCAAATAGCCAGGGGCCGTAAAAACTGCTGCCATGCAACCCTTTTTTAATTTTACAGCTTTACTGCCTGTTGATATCAGCCGGTTGAGATTAGTGTGGAGGTCAGAAACATTTGGACGATACAAGTAACAGAGAATAGTATCTTGGAATGAGTGATGCATGTTTCACACACCGTGTAGATGTTTTACAGACTTTCTTTATGTTTTGTCACCTCTGCAGGCTGAAAAAGGACAGGTGAACGAGGCCGTTAAGGCTGCCATCAGCTCTGGATACCGGCACATCGACGGCGCTTATGTGTACCAGAATGAAGACGAAATTGGGTGCGCAATTCAAACTATGATTGGCCAAGGAGTGGTGAAGAGGGAGGATTTATTCATCGTCAGTAAGGTGGGCTGAACACATGCTTAATGAACTCTCTGACTATCTTCATTCTGCCTGAACTTTATCCAGAATTCACCAGAATACTGTTTGTCTCTGTCAACCAGGAGTCACTGGATAGTCTCCATATAAAACACCAGTTACACGTTAGTGTAAAAACGACTGAGTTTTCTTTTTGTGTGTGTGTGTTTTAGTTGTGGTGCACCTTCCATGTTCCATCCTTGGTGAGAGGAATATGTGAGAAGACCCTTCGGGACCTTAAACTGGACTATTTGGACCTGTACCTCATGCATTTCCCAATAGGAATGAAGGTGTGAACTCCTCTGTGTTTTAACCGTGAAAAAGAAAAACAAACATTTGGTTTAACATTTAGCCCATCTAACTTTTCTATTCTTACTCGGCCATACAAGTGTTACTACATAATACTTGCTCTACGATGAAACTTTATTGTATTACATTTATCAGATTAAAGTAAATTGAACTTCATACTGTTATTCATACTTTTTCTTTCTTGAAGCCAGGGGATGAGATTTTCCCATTAGATGAGCAAAAGTTTGTCATTCCTGATGACAGCAACTTTTTGGACACTTGGGAGGTAAATAAAGAGAAAAACGGCTCCGACATGCAGATAAGATGGAGATGAAATCATACATAATATAACATGCCACTGTATTGAAATCTACCGTGCACTTCCTCTGAAAGGCTATGGAGAAGCTGGTGGACGATGGGCTGGTCAAAGCGATTGGCGTCTCAAACTTCAACAAAGACCAGATTGAAGCCATACTCAACAAGCCCGGCCTCAAGCACAAGCCCGTCAACAACCAGGTGAGAAACAAGGTTTTCATTCCTAAAGATTAGCCTCTGGAGAATGCGAACCAAAACTAAAACATTTGGGTTTCGTCTTAGATTGAGTGCCACCCGTTGCTGACCCAGGAGAAGATGATCAATTACTGCCACTCAAAGGGAATCTCAGTGACGGCCTTCAGCCCTCTGGGCTCCCCAGACAGACCATGGTGAGAGAGTGTTTAAAACCAATCGTCCAAAAGACGCGCAGAACAAGATTACTAACGGTCTCGTATCCAAAAAGGGCTTCTCCTGATGACCCATCTCTGCTCAGTGACCCAACGATCAAGGCCATAGCTGCGAAGTACAACAAATCCCCAGCACAGGTAAGAAAAAAGAAGGTTAGTCCTGAATAAAGGAGGGCAAACAAAAGCAGTGCAGTCACAAAAGTGAAAAGAAGAAAGTGTTATGAATCAGTATTTTGAAATGGCAATATCACATGGCGCCTAATGCCGCGTGCGCAGACCACACGCCCGATAAGGACAGCTGTGGTGTCCTACCGTGATGCGCTCACTCAAGCCCCAGAAAACCATAAACATGTGTGGAACTGATTCAACTAAAATGGCACAAGGTAAAAAAATAAATAAAAAAAAGTAGGCCAGCAGAGGAAAACCACCGGTCACACGGCTAATTCTCAGAAATGAGTCTGGAACGGGGTGTGATGGCGGGCACTGTGGGAGCCGTGGGTACGGCACAGATATCATGTGGTGACACATTAATCACGCCGTGATGCTCATACTCCCATGTTCTCTCCAGGTTCTCATCAGGTTCCACACCCAGAGGAATGTGGTCGTCATTCCCAAGTCGTCCTCGTCTCATCGTATCAGGGAAAATTTCCAGGTATATTAAATATCTGTCCATCTTTTTTCTGTAAAGTTGGACGAGTGCTCAGCTTGTCTCAGATTAATGTTTCTATTTGACAAGCTGTTGTTTCTAAGATGTCTCTCTTTTTATATTTTAGTTGTTTGATTTTGAATTAAGTCAGGAGGACATGAAGACCCTGCTGAACATGAATAAGAACTGGAGAGGATTCCCAGCGCCGTGGTGAGTAGAACTGGACCAGCGTGAGGGGAAAAGAGTGAAAACAGATAAAGAAAGGCATACTTAAGTGGAAAAAATGTGCTGTGGTTTCTCCACAGGGCCTCGAAGCACAAAGACTACCCCTTTCACACCGAATACTAACTCTGCAGACACCAGACTTCTGGTTTACGCCGCGTTTGAAAGCGAGGTCAGCTCCCGGTGATCAGACCACAGCCTGAGAAAATGTGCCCGACGATTCCCTGTTGCACTAAACTGCTCTTTTTTATGCTCTGCATTACAAATTCAATAAACTGAACACAATATTGCAGCATTTATGGCTCTGATGGTGTTGTAAGACAGTGGATGGTTATCTTAGGATGATTAGAAAGACCTTATCAGCAGCATATATTACTCGTTGTTGGTTTTTTATCATCATACTCTTGTTGAACTCTTGAATTGTGAATTAATTTAACAGAAACAACAAATGCAAACAGAAATGATTCTAAACTTCACCCCTTCAGGCTTAATTTTAGCACAGATTGTCCTTTTATCTCAATTGGTCTACAAACAGAGAAAGTTATTGACGTCAATTTCCTGCCGGATTAGCCATCGCTAATTACGACTGCTGTTTTTTCATGAGTCAGCAACACACATTCAGTGTGTGTAAAAGGCCTAATGAGTCTGTAACCCATAAATATTCATCTTAAAAAAATCAAGTTAATCAAAGCTAAAAAAAGCACAGCTCAGAAACTGATGTGCTCTTTTTATAGCGGGGATATCTTCAAATAAGATTCTGCAACAAATCTAGCTCAACCGTTGTTAAAATATCAGTCCAGACACAACAGGACAACGATCCGCTGACAATGACCACTCATTTTGGACGTGGTAAAAACATGCACAACTGCTCCTGTTGGGAATATAATGCTAACATTAGCCTAAGCTAGAGGAACAAACGTCAACACTTTGGCCTCTCGCACCACAGCTCAGGAAACTTGTAACCACTCCATGAAGCGTCTCCCACATGTTTTAATTGTAACAGTGCCAAAAACAGAGAACACTGGAAGTGAAAGCGGAGCTTATGTAACCGGTTTACTGACACACATGACTACAGAGCGCAGCACATGACTCCTACAAAGCCGGGCCGGCTGCAACACGTTCCAACTTTAAGAGACGGGTGCAGAGAATCCGAGAGCAGAACGGCTGATTTCAGACTCCATGCGGGAGACGAAAAGTTTTGTAGTGTGAGATTTTGTGGCATTAGAAATGGTTTACCCTCTTAAACATGATGCGGTGTCAAGAAGAAGAAGAGACGAGGGTTTGTGAAGATGAAGCTTTCTTTACTGCATGTGACAGGTTTTTGTTTTTCAGTAACTTAAAGCCATGCTGACGAGCCAATATCCACCCATTCTGATTTTTTTATCAAATTGGCAGTAACTCTGGAGTGCGTCAGTACGATTTTCAATGTAACAGAAGAACTCATTGCTATTCCGTGAAACGAGACAGAAAAACTCAGAAGCGGCCCACATGGATCTCAGGAGAAAGAGAACGTGGACGTCTGGAGGGCAGAGGAGAGACGTAGAATGCAGCATGTGGAAAATCAGCCGCTTTCTCTCAGAACTCGGCATTGAATGGGTAGTCCTTGTGCTTAAGGCCCCTGTGGGGACACAAACAGTAGATGGAACAATTGAAAATCAAACAAACTTTGACTGACAAGTACTAAATGTTCCAAACTAAATGCGAGTTCCGGTCTCACCAATGCATTGGACATGCTCTCCAGTTCCTGTTGAAGCCCATTATGGTCTTCATTTCCTCCTCAGTTAGCTCAAAATCAAACACCTGCAATCATTCAAGCAGCCGTTTTAATTCACCAGCCAAAAAGCGAGTCAAAGTTCCGGCTACTGCTCGGATCGGCACCTGGAAGTTCTCCTGGATGCGCTGCGGGGTGATTGACTTGGGGATCACGATCACGTTTCTCTGGACGTGGAAGCGAATCATGACCTGTCAGAGGAGAGGAGGAGAGGGGCTGACCAGTGCTCAGAGTGGCCTGAGAGCTTTCTCTGCCACGAGGGTTTTTACCTGAGCGGGAGTCTTCTTGTGCTTGTCAGCAATGGCCTTAATGGAGGGATCCTCCATTAGGGAGGGGTCATCAGGTTTAGCCCTGCATTTGAGACGGAAAAAATCCACAAATCCTCACAGGATGCAAAACAAACTACTGTTTTGATGTCACAAAACAGGTAAACACAGTTTAAAAAAATGTCTGAGTAAAAGAAAAAGAAAAAGACCCCTTTTTATGCAGTACTTGACCAATCCTACAACCAAAACAGACCAGGCTGACCAACGCTATGGATAAAGGGGAACAACAGTCACATGCTGCAACTAACCAAATGGTTCTGGAAGGCAGGATGTGTCCCAAAATAGCTATTAACCAACACTGTGCAGCGGCGTGAATTTTAGGTTTTTCCCCAAATGACGAAACCCAGCGCTGGTGTACTGACCACGGTCTGTCCGGCGACCCGAGGGGGCTGTAGGCGGTCACTGAGATGCCCTGAGAGTGGCAGTAGCTGATCAGCTTCTCCTGGGTCAGATACGGGTGGCACTCGATCTAGAAAAAGAAGAAATCAATTCAATTAGACTGGATACTGCATGCATGTATTTTTACATTTACAGTTTAGGTCCTGAAACCTTCAACGTTCGATAGGGGGACGCCGGTTTGTTTTTATGAGGTGCGTATGAGGACGCAAGGCAAAGGGAAAATGGAGCTTTAATCTTATCAAGTAAAGAAAAAAAAAGGCATTAGCCAACAAGGCAGGACACTGATTGTGAACTATGGCTCGAGAAGCACAAAAACAGAAGGTCAGCCCAGCTAACTCTGGCCTGAGGAGAAGCTGCCGCGCTCCATTATGAATTAACCAGACCGGCAGAAGTCTCTGGTCAGATCGGAGGAGACAAATAATCCCATTACAGCATTTTGTCCTTTAGAGAGCAGCAGATGGTATTTTCCAGCCGGCCAACATCCTTCAGTCATATTCAAGTTTACCTGGTTGTTGGCAGGTTTGTATTTGAGGCCCGGCTTCTTCAGGATGGCTTCGATTTGCTCCTTGTTGAAGTTGGAGATTCCGATAGCTTTGACCAAGCCAGCGTCCACCAGCTCTTCCATTCCCTGAGGGGAAAAAAAAGGACCCCAATAAACCCATTTCATCGTCTCTAGGTTAGTTTTAAGCCACCCTGTTCCATACAAAGCTGGTTCTACGCTTTATGAGCTGATGATCCTTTAATGCCGGGGGATGGGGGGGGGCAGTTCTAAGCAGGTTGTGTTGTCATGAATGGTGAGTGTCAGCTTTAATGAGCGTGTTGTCTCTTTGATCCATGTCAGGATTCATCTTCAGCATTCGGGAATCTCGTCTCTTTTCCCAAAACTGCAAAAAAGGGACGGATAAGTTCATAGGAGCCGTACCTCCCACGTCTCCAGGAAGTGAGTGTCATCGCTGATGGTCTCCCCAGCGCTGTCCAGAGGAAAGAGGTCACCGCCAGCCTGTGAGGGGACAGACAACTCCTGTGACGCTGACCATAAGGAAGCAGGATTCTGAATTCCATTAGAAACGGGGCAAAAACACCCCCTTTGGGTCCGCGTTTTTGACACACACAGACGACCAAACGGGGTAAGAATAAAGAAGAGAATCCTATTTTCACAGATAACGTCGTTCCCACCTTGAAACCCATGGGCCAGTGCACCAGGTAGAGGTCCAAGTAGTCCAGTTTCAGGTCACTCAGAGTCTTCTCACAGGCCTGCCTCACCATGGACTTCGCATGGAAGGTGCACCAGAGCTGTAACAGGACCGGGTGGGGGTCATTTCTATATCTTTTTTTAGTGTGAATCAAAGCAGACGGCGCCCGCTCACCTTGCTGACGATGAAGAGCTCCTCTCTGGTGACCACGCCGTCCCGGATGGTGGCGTGCACCCCCTCGCCCACCTCCGCCTCGTTCTGGTAGACGTAGGCCCCGTCGATGTGCCGGTAGCCTGCCAGGATGGCCGCCTTCACCGCCTCCGCCACCTTCCCGGGCGGGGACTGAGGAGCCAGAAGGGTTTTTAATAATAATTAACAGGGAAACGGGTCTGGGTTTGGTGGAGTGGGACAGGGACACCCTACCACCCGTTTACACACCAGATGACCCCCTGCCTTACATGTCTGGACTCAGAATCTGATCACAGACCAGCTGCCCATGCCACAAATCACGTGATGCAGCCTTATTATGAATCCTGCACATATACTGACCCGCAAACTCACATTTGTGAGTCCACGGGGGGGTGAGGGGCAAAAAGTCTGACTTTATTACGCGTGGGTACACAAACTTAACTCCCCTCCTGTGCAACAAAAGGAACTAAAAAAAAAGGGCTGTTTAAGCCTTTTTCCTGCTGATGATCTGCTGGACTCACATTGCGTAACTGGACTAAGAGAGAATATGGAGAGTTGGATCAAATTAAAGCGTGTAGCTCCGGCTAACCACCCCCCCCCCCCCCCCCCCCCAGGCAGCTGTAAACTGTCCCCCTACAGCAAGATCAATGTCAAATATGAAGTTACATTAAAAGCTATTAATAAACCATTTAAATGAAAACAGGGACGCGCGTTTGGATGAAAGTTGATGCGTAAAAGTTCGTCCACCAAACGGCCTTAGCTTACTTCACGGGTAAAATTTGAACTTGCACCGGTTGGATAAGAAGGAATAAGCTCACCTTCCATGTCCCCAGCCCCACGATGGGCATCTGAGCGCCGGAGTTGAGCTTCACTGCTGCCATTTCTGCGCGGGACGAGAGGAGGACGAAACAACGAGCGAAAAGTCCGGGATCGATTGCTTCTGCCTGCGCCGATGTCAGAGCCGGACTCCAGATCCCGTCGGGTTTTTTTTTCAGAGGGAAAAACGGGAAGTGTCCGTCTCGTCCAGATCGGTGACCAAAAGCGCTCCAGATGTGCTGGAGGCCGAAAAACAGCTGCAAAAGGCTGACCATCACTAACAGACCGAACCAGACAGGACATAAGACCCTCCAAATCTACTCAAAAGCTTAATTATATAAGATAATTTGATAGGATTTAATATAACCGCTCTTTTCATTTGTAAATCAGACCTCACAGCTGTAAATAATTGCCAATAACAAAGCAAATAATTACCACCAATACTCAGTAAAGTAAAAAGACAATAAGTCATTCTGTTTTCTCTCATTATAAATTGTAAATCATTACATGGGGTGCACTGATGTTGACATTCTTAATCAATGTAAGATGAAAAATAACTGATATTGACTGTAAGTAACTGGACACTTTTAAAGGATTTCAACTTTCTTAAACTCATCTTTGAGGGAGCACCTCCCAAAAATGTATAATACAAAGTTTATAAAGCATATCCAATCTGAAAATGGTATGAGCCATAAAGCTGACATAAACAGGTGAGATTCACTCCTAAATATTGTGGTAAACACAGAAAATTCAATTCAAAACAATCTTTTGAGGACAGTTTGCGCCAATAACAAAGAAAATGTGACACTGAAACGCAGATCAGATAGATACTGAAGAACATATTGAACTAAAGTGCACATTTTAGGCATCTACTTAACTATCTCATTAAATATTCAGCATTCATTTAATTTGAAACCCACAACAAATTTAATGGACATTAAATACTGCCCTCCCTGATGGTCTTTCTACCTTCACACCACTAGAGGGCACCATTACACCTTTCATACACGTGAAACAGTCCCCAAACTGAAGTAGTAACCCGCCGTCTCATACATTAGCTGATAAGGCCAGTAATTACAGCAGCTGAAATGATTAATCACTTCACTTTAAGCACCCCCCCCCCAAAAAAAAAAAAAAAAAAACTCAAGCACACATTCCATTTTTGATTTGAGGTAAATCAATAGAACTGGTCTTTAAACCGGCGTATGATAAATAGCCTGCACTTGAAACGCGGTAAAGATGGAGATGACATGTTTAAAAGATGTGTTTTTTGAAGGAGTCCGTCTGACTTTAACCTGCGTCTTCCTCACTGTGTGAAGCTCGGAGAAAAGATCTACACCACTGCTTTAAGCCCCGAGAGACGGCTGAAAAGGGGGAGCACATATAAGGTGACTGATTTTTTGGCAACATCAGATAAAACCTCACAGACCTTTAACCGAGCCATTCAACATTCTGAGCCGGAGATAAGAAAAGGAAGAAAGCAGCAAAAAACACACAAAAGGGGGAAAGTTATGGGAGCTAGAAGCCACTGTGTACCTCACAATGGCTCCCGCTAAAGTTTGTGTCTCTTCTGATCTTCTCCCTGCTGGACGGCAGCTTTTCAGGCCCCCCCTCGCCTCTGATCTAACTTCAGACACCCGAGGGTCTTTTGACTCCCCCTCCAAACTGTCAAAGTACCCCAGGAATCAAACACCATCGCATACGGTCGGGGATCAAAGAGTCACAGGTAAACCAGATGAAGACGCGGACACATACGATTGCAACCTATAAGGGGGGGGGGGGGGGTTGTTCCAGAGCCTCCTATTTTACTTTTGCAGACGGACACATTTCACTTTACTCATGAAAGAATAAGGAACACAAATGTGCATTTGAAGATACAGGAGAGGACCCAAAGTCAAGCCAAGGGCCTCCTAAGGAACATTTCAGTCACAGAATGTGTTTCTCTAAGAATCTAAGAGGAAGTTAGTCAAATATTCGTATTATAATGAACAGAGGGATGGAAATGTAACAAGTAAATATGTAGGTTACAATACAGGTAGTTGCTTTCTCAGTGGGCAAAATGAAGGGCCTGTCCAGACTTTGACCATTTCAGTGTGAGATCAGACACCCGGTCGGGGAGACATAACCTGACCCGGGGAGATCAAACGCCGCGTTTCATTTCATGGCATGCGCCCCCCCTCCCCGCTCTTCTCTCTTTTTCTCTCCGACCCGTGTCTCTGCCACCGGCCCCGGCCTCGCTGTCTTCTCTTCTCTTTCTGTCCACCCGTAAATCTAATGTCCGGTGTCAGCTCGTGCTGGGTTTCGCTCACACACTCGCATTCCACAAATCCAGACTGTCCAACAATTACTGGATCGGGGGGGGGGAAAAATCCCTACGTCAGGAGTGAGTCAGTGGTTTTGTCTGGTGGATTACATGTTCATAAGCAGGGGGAGCTCACATCTCAAAGTCTCATTAAATATGATTATGCCATCTCTTTTTGCTGGCAACAGGTCAGTGATAGTTTCAAATGTAAGGGTTGAAGGGGCTGATCACTTTGTGAGAGACAGTGTGTTTAAAAGATTCTTCATTTTTTTTGTGTGTGTGAAACTAAATTACAATTGAATTGTTTACAGGACATAATGTCATTTATAGATTTCCAGAAACAGTATAAGAAACAGTGTTGGTTTTCAATCCGGTTTATCTTTAACAAGCAATGAACAACAAAATACTTTTTGCCTCAGCGTGTTTTTACTCAGAATCCGGCCATGTCACACATTGTCTTTAAATGTGATATTTTGAAACGCTGTGAAACAACTCCAGGTGAAGGTCTCCAGGTCTTTGGCGTCTGCGTTGCTGATCAGAGGGCGCCAACAAAAGATCTGTTCGGGCTACGTTTTCCACGGGTTTTTACGTTTGCCCAGCGCATTATGTGTGAAATGCAGATAACTGCTGGGATTTCCTTGCTTTCTTGTCAGATCTATCTCGATTTGAATGCTGCGTCCACAAACATTAACATCAGTAAATGTAAAATCCAGGTCGATAAAAGGGGGCGGAGCCAGCGTTTTAACTCCTGTACATCACAGGATAAACTCAAGACTTTTAAGACTGCCAGCAGTTGCAAATAACAATGTTCTCATCTGGAGTTTGGAAGGATTTCGTTTGCATTCGTCACCGTGGAAACCCTGATTAACCCACAGAGGAGTGCCATCATTTCATTTACTTAGCTCCACCTTGCACACAGTAGGAAAGTTGGATTTAGGCATAATTTTTAAAAGACATGTTCATTTCTTTTTCCATTGGATTCCATCAGATTGGAATGCCATTTAAGTGCTCTACTCTGGAAAGATTTGGGCTTGTATTTGCTTAATGTAAAGACCTGGTAAAGTACATATGCATAACAGCTTAACACTTTCTGTTATCTTATTTTACAGTGACATTTAGGAGTGTAACCAGTGTTTTTATGGCACTAAATCAGTGAAGGCACTTTTATTGTGCCTGTGGTGCTCCAGCTCCATACTGGTATATTATGTTAAGAAATCCAGCTTCAGACAACAGAAGACTTGTGTTATTGCTGATGGCATGTGAATGCTCGCATAGCGTTAAAATTGTATTAAGGCCCTGCTCAAAGAAGAAAGAGACGTCTCTGCCACCACCAGAGCAGTTCAGACAACTCGTCTGGGTCCAGAGTGAAGGTGGAAATGAGAATCAACGTAAACTTAACCTCACGGAACCTTTTGGGACTTTTTTTTTTTCTAATTTCTTCAACTTCCTCCAGGTCACATTCCTGAACTGAATGTACAAAACCGTCCTTTTTTTCCCCGCTAGTTAATCCTGAGCGTGGATCTGAATATATCCTTTAGCAGGGTAGATCCTCCTAATTAGGTTTGGATCCAAAACATACACACATATTTGTACTTTCAATTGCGATTACGCACAAGAATTTTCTCCAAAATGCATCTGTGGCTGAACAGAGGTGTGTCCTCTCCGGCCCCCTCAGACATGGTTGGGTTTTTTTTTTTGGCTTGATTAACCACTTAGTTCAGTCTCTCAGACACAAGATTGCAGGGAAAAAGTGAGTAATGAAGTGCTTTTGAATTTGCATTCCTGAGAGCTTTTGCGGCCGCCTTGATTTGGCTCTGCCTTGGCTGTTTGTTCTTCGTTAAGAGATGCCTGCTATTCTAACGGTAACACCTAACGAGTGTCCATCCAGCCTCCTCCATATTGCTCCCTCATCAACCTAACTGCCATGAACAAACACAATCAACACCGCATCTGAAGGGGGGAATTGGGAGGTTTTTTTTTCTCTCAAACGGGCCCTGATGGCTCGTTCATCATTGTTATTATGCAGATTAGTGTGACCGTGGAGAAATGTCAGCGTTCTGTAAAGGCTGACCGAAAACACTTGTGTGTTTCGCTCCGTCCGTCCACGCACAGCCGATCAGTTATGGACAAACCGTCTCAAGAATATGACATTAACGGCATTCCGTCTGCACTCGAAAGTCAAGCCGACACTTTTCGGCTCGCCCTTGACAACAAAGTGTGCGGCGCTATCAGATGGAGTGTCTGCTGTAATTTACCAGGTAAGTACCTTCGTTTTGTCGAGAAATTTCCAGAGAAAAAAAGAAACAAGCGAGGAAATTTAGACGACAATTTAGACACACAGAACAACAATGTGAGCTTTGACGGTATTAGATCGCGTTTGAATCTATTTGACTCATTTATGGGCAAACGTGATGATGTCACACGATGACTTGCCAGAATCTGTGATTATTTTTGTCTTGGAGAAGAGGGTTGTTGACGTAAAAAAAAAGCTTCCCTTTGCACCCCGCTCCTGGGTGGCAGAAAAGAGGAAACAGAGTTTGGTTTAAATCTGGGGCCCTTTCACTGACTCGTACTTCCAAAAAATGATCAAACTTCAATAGGAGGATCATAAATGTGGATCATTTGAAGCTGGACGCTGAAGCCAAAAAGAGGACAGAGGATCTGTTTCCCTCAGACCACAGACACCAGGTAACGGAAAAAAAGAGGGTGCTGTGCCTCTATTTGCTGGGTTAGACCTGTTATTGCTGACATTTGTGATAACCGAGAGGGAAGCCTTTTATTTTACTCCCCAAGCTACATCCTGCTGAACAGGAAGTTTGTTTTTTTGCAATAAGGAATCAAGTAAAGTCAATTATTTTTAACATACATTTTGCTGGAACAGTTGATCTGAATATATCCTTTAGCAGGGTAGATCCTCCTAATTAGGTTTGGATCCAAAACATACAGACATATATAAGTCCGTGCAGTTTCTGA